AATCTATGAATCTATGAATCTATGAATCTGGAAGTGGATGGGAACCAAAGTCCTCTTAGGCACAGGTCAAAACATTCCCTTAGACACTGGCAGTTTGCTCCTTGGTATTTCTTGCATGTAGACACGCCAGGTCGAGCCAAGTGAATAACATGTAAAAGGCTGAAGCAGAGAGAGGCAAAAGCTTGGAAGGAAGCAGCTTGGATAATGCTGGTTTCACTGCAGAAGCTTCACATAATTTGCTGGAAAGAGGCCTACTTTGCCCCGGCACTGTCCCCGCCACCAGCCTTCATCTACCATCTCGATGTGTGTGATTGTGTCATCGGGATCAAAAGAAATCTCATCATCTCCATCTGCAAAAATTGTTCAGAAAAGATAGTTACAATGCGAATATAACCCCAGTGAGAGCTGTTTTTACATCCCTCCTCCAACCCCCACCCACAGGAGGAGAATACAGAACAAGCATTCTGATAACCCTCAGAGTTTCTCTCATCCAACCCTCATCAAACAGCACAGATAAACCAAAGAGCAAGACTTCACAGACAAAGATGAAGCTTTTGTGTTCCCAAGTCAGGTTTCATTCTGCCTTCCAAGAGGAAGATATTTAAACCACTGAGTAAAACTCTTTTCACCACTGCTTATGGTGTAAGCCACCACCTCCCGCCGCATTGCCACGGCCAGCTCCCAGTGCCTCTCCCCACAGCCTGGATGGCAGACCCACCTCCCTGGTAATCGTAGAGAGCCACTGCACAGGTGCCAGGTTTCTCCACCTCATAAACATTGTCCATTTCCCCTGCAGAAGACAGGACAGGCAGATGAGAAGGTGGCTGAAAGCAGCCACATAGAGCTGGTCAGTGCCACCCTCCACCCAGCTGCCAGCCGTGGGGTAAGCCACATCCAAACCCTGTCAACAAGGAGAAGTGTACCATGGCTCAAAGCAAGGTACGACTTCCCTTGCCTTCAGCAAGGACAGAGGCGGGTTCTGATGTTTCATGTTCCTCTCCCAAGAAAAAGGCTGGACATAACTCCAGCCTCTCCGCTTACCATCATCAGTGGCAGCGAAGCTGCGACAGAAACCTCAAGAGCAGCCCATGCGGTTTGTTTTTGTGCCTGGAGTTAGACTGCTGTCCCGGGTTGGGCTGGGACAGAGTTAATTTTCACAGGAAGCTGGGAGGAGACCCAAACTGGTCAGGGGGATAGCCCATACCATATGATGTCATGGTCAAGGTATATACTGGGGGAGCTGGCCAGGGGAGGGGCATCACAGATCAAGAATGGGCTGGGCATCGGGTTCCAGGTTCTGGGTGGTGATCAACTCTATCCCTCACTTTGTGTTGTTCTTTTATTAGTATTACTGTTATTATCCCTTCTCTTCTCTTTTTGTGCTGTCCTATTAAACTGTCTTTATCCCAACCCACGGGTTTTACCTTTTTCTTCTGATTTCTCCTCCCCATCCTACCAAGCAGGAAGGATTCAGCGAGTGGCTGCATGGCAGCTTGGCTGTTGGCTGGGTTAAACCATTACAACCACCCTGCACTCCTCACACTCAGGAGACACCACCAGATCAGGTCTCACCACCATGAGCCATTTGAGTGACAGGCTGAATTAACGGGACACCCCAGAACTCGGTGCAGCGCTGGCAGTCGCCTGCCAGGAAACAGCACACCGAGTGCATCAGTCCAGGTCCAGCTTCTTCAGAGCCCACGGCAGCCCTCTGGTCCTCCTGCTGGTGTCCTGCTCCAGCAGAGATACTTGCTGCTTGGCCCAGCATCCCATGCAGCTGCTCTCACACCTTGGAGCCGGGCAAGGGAGTGGGAGATGACCAAGTCTCTATCATCATGGGCTGCTGCCCTGACCACAGGAGACTTCAGGATACAAATTCCCTCTAGAGTCTGTCCTGTACATCCAGTGAGATAAGCAGCCAGACACAAGTTCCCTAAGACACGGGCTCTTCCATCAGTACTCACCTAAGTGGGGCTGACTCTGGCTGGGCTCCTCAGGAAGGATCTCTTCATAGTCCTCACCTCCATCTCCTCCTTGGTCATAGATGGCATCCAGATTTTCCAAGGGTGCTGGCAGCTCCTCATAGTCAGCACCTCCACCGGTACTGTCACAGTAGTCAGAGTGCTCTGGCAGCTCCTCATAGTCTCCACCGACATCCAAACCCTCACTGTAGATGGGCTGATCCTGGCTGGGGATCTTGCACAGCTCTTCGCCCAGATCTGCTGGCCTTGGTGGCAAAGTGGGTGGTGTTTCCTCATCCTCCCATTTTGCCTCCTGCCACGAAGTGAGACAGTGACAGGAAAGTCACCTGCAGAGCACCCACTGCAGGCTCTCCCATGACTGCACATTACCCAATACAAGGGAGCCCGTTCCACTGCAGGTGCTGTTAGTGCTACCGTGACACAAACGAAGTGTCATCCTCTGTACAACAGGGAGACAGCTCAGCCATTACGTCTGTGCTGAAGTGGCACCTGGGATTGCTGTGAAGACCCCCATGGCTCATGTATTTGAACCCCTCTCACATACTTAGCTACAGCTACTGTACTGCCACTGCATGGACGCGCTCCAAGAGCCCATTTCTTGGTGTAAGGCGCTGTGCAGCCATGTCCCATCACCACCCCAACGTTTCCGCCCTCGCCACTTCTTCCTGCAAGGCTGCCCATGAAGCGCAGCCCCGTCCCAGGCGCAGTCCCTCCCCTGCTCCCTTCCCTGGCTCTCCCCAGCCCGCCGTGGCACCTGTTCTCCCGACACAGGCCTGTCTGGGTCAGCACTCCGGGGCACCCTTGCTGGCACGGCGGCAGAGGCTGCCTCTGTGTGGTCCTTCTCTCTCTGTGGGATTTCCTGCTGGAGAAAAGTCATTAAATTCCCTCAATCCCTTTGAATGAGGTCCAGAGTAATGTCTGTTCCCACTCCCAACAGAACAACTCAGAAAATTTTTTTTCAGTGTAAATCTGCCCTGGCTCACAGAGCAACCCTCAGTTTTCCTCCAGCTGAAATCTGTTCAGCTCCCATAACCCTGCCCTGGGAACGGGACACCAGCAGCCCTGTAAGGACTGCGGGGTCTGCAGAAAGTAGCCTCAGGGAGGGAACGTACCAGGGAGTGCGTTATTGGTGAACCTTATCTTCACATCGAATGCAGAAAGAGCACAATGTAGAAGGCGGCCCTGAAAAGGTGAGGGTTTGGGTGCAATCTGCAGTCTGGAGAACGCTGAAGGCAGACTGCTGGGACAGCCACCCCGGGGAGCTGGGACGGCACTGTGCTTGCCAGGCACCAGAGGCAAGAAGGAGCGCAGGGCAGAGCACAGCGGGTCACGGCTGGGTGCAGCACGTCCTCAGCCGTGTGCCAAAAAGGAAAACCCAGTGACAACTATGAAGTTCCCCGGCAGTCCCTGGCAGTCGCAGGGAAGCAGTTTAGGCAAGAGGTTACTGTAAAGCAATCAAGTAGGCGGCCATGAGGCTGCACGGCCCTCAGGAAAAGCCTGCTTCATAAGCCCTGGTGTACATGGCAAGGTGGCCATGGCGCACCTTCTGCCGAGGGGCCTGGCGCTCCCGAGCCTGCCGTCTCGCCCGGTCCTCCTCTGCCCGCCTTCTGCTCTCCTCCTCTGCCGACTTGGCCATGTTTTCAAACCGTGACCGCAGGCTGCTGGTGCCACTGGAAGCTCCTGTGTGAAAGAGAGCTGATCATGCCGACCCAGTGGCTCCCTTCCACCACTCCACACATCCAGGAGAAACCCAGACCTCCACCTCTGCCAGAGAAACTTGCAGTTCATCCACCTTCTCCTGCCCCTCAGCACAGATTAAATCCACATCCCACCACAGCACCTGCCTCCCAGTGTGCTGCCCCCGAGGGACCATGCAGCCCACAGGGTCCCACCCAGCCCAGGGCTGGTGCTCAGTTGTCTCACCTGCCTCCAGTGGTCTGGTTTTCTCGTACGAGGAGGTGGGAGCTGCCATCTCATTAAAGCCAGCAGCACTCTGCAAGAGGAAGCGAATGAACATTAGTGTTGGGTGATAGGACAAGAGGAA